CTGTAATTGACAGCAGTTGCACCCTGGCAGATGCAGAGTGCAACCAAGTGGATCCTTTCTCAGTCTTGAAACAATCTCAGAGCAGCTTCAGAAAAATGGGAACACTGTGTTTTTGCATGCGTGTCATTAACGTTTCTTGACAGTTAATCCTACAACCACAGAGTTCTTCGAAGCAAAAGTGCTGACGTTATGCTTTTGTATCCTATTAGCTTCAGGGATTGGGGTCAAGTGTCCCCAGAGGATAGGTGCTAGAAACTGCTGATGCAGCCTTGAACAAGGACTAAAAGTTCAACAGGTCTATCCACTCAGCATAATGGTGGATCCAGCATAGAGAGAGACTGGAGGTAACCTGTAGTGACCGTCTGCATTTCTTTTCTATCTCTCTTTTGGGCAGCAGTAGCTCAAGAGTGGGCACCACAGGGTTGCCTGTTAAAGTCCAGCTTGTACCAAGTGCCAACAAGTGTCTGCTCTAACAGCTATCTGATTCCTTTGGGTCACATAAAAACTTCTTTACAAGACGAGTTGACCATTTCCTTCTAACTAAACAAAAGATAGACTTTTCATAATACGCCACTGCAATTTCCAGTCACTCCCTCACTGTAAGGACTTTGTAACACAAGGATAGTAAACCCATTGAGATAAAAGAACAGTATAACCACGAGAATGTACTTTCTCTAACATTTCATCTATTTTATGAATATATTTGACCAATTTGATCAACAGGTACCTGTGCCAATGACATTCAGTGTTTAACAGCTTATTTATACAAGCATGAATGAAGGAAAACTTGGTTTGCATCTAAAGTAAGATGCAAATCCAGGCTGAATATTATCGCTGCTTCCCCTCAGAGTGAATGAAGATAAGACAAGCTGATGTCCTTTTATCTCCTTTTATTGTGATATTGCCCATTTATTATTTGAGCAATAATCTTTGTTTACAATAGATGTCTTTTCCAATGTGGGTCAACAACCGAACAAGAAGATGATATCACAGATAAAAGGGCCGACCTTAGGAACTAAACTAGCATAAACAACAAATTCACTGAGAAGCAAACTTTATATTTCCATAATTCCATAATAGCAAAATGTGATTTGATAAGATAAAATAAACTTATTCAGTCTTGACTGTAGAATCAGAGCCAGAGCCATTCACCAGATCAGAGTGCAATGAGTGAAAAGTCCTATCTGTAACGTATCTGTAACGTATCTGTAACGTATCTGTAACTCGGATGCTATATGCAAATTTGCAGTGGTGATCATTTGATTACCAAACCGTAGGGTTGTTAATGGTGTATTGACATAGCACACTCTCTGCATTCAAACCATATTCAGAGTCATAATCAGAGTTTAAGAAATGTGCCAGGAGGAGGGAGGTTAAGATTACTTTCCCAGTGTGTTATCTTCAACCTTCAAGTGTGAGATCAAGGCTGGGGGGGATCCTCGAGACTGTCTTTGTTAGATGGCTTATAACCAGAAAGCTTTCCCACATTTCTCTACTTCAATCCAAGTTTAATTACAGTACGTCCACACAGGAAATACACTCAGTTCAAAACAACATGACCACGAAAAACCTAAAAGACTACGCACATTTCAAATGACCCGTCTTCATGATATACAGCACTCCTAAATGTACCAAGAGCTTTGAGATTGTCCTGCTACTTTCAAAGAAAACCTCAAAACAGTCTGGTATATCACTTAGGGAGATGGCCTTCAGCCTAAACGTCTGCATCGCAAAACAAAGTCCTCCCTGAATCCTTTTAACAAAACACAAACCAGTCCCTCATGAGTAACTTTGACTCCGCAGTCTTAAATCCTCTTAGTGTTTGACCCTAATCCAGACAGGGAGGTGAGACGCATCAAGTGAGGTCTAAGCCTAGCAAATAAAAGTCAGTGATCAGTTGCGAGATAATGCAAATCAGAAAGGTACCAGATGTCCCATGCAACAGAGACACACACAGCACAGAGCGAAGGAAAAAAAACTCAGGCCCAGAGTTACAGCAGGACACACACGCACGCCTCTTGTTTCCTGCCCCTTGTTTCCTGTTCTCTACCAGGCAAAGGGACATGGAAAATGCATTGGACAAACCACCAGTCAACGTATGAAGAGACATGTACAGACAGACAGGTTTCAGAGGTGTATCTTTTAAAAACATGGTCCGACAAGATAAGAGTTTTGATTTTATAAAGGCTTGACTTGGCTGAGGGGGTCAGAAACAATATACATAAGCACACAGAGGAGATTAGGCGGTCAAATGAATAAAACATAATGTTATCAGAATATTAACTATCAGGGACACCATGAATATAGCAAAACTATGCATTTCAATGAACACAGTACATTTGTGATCTCATGCTCTGCAGATGAAAATAGGTAGACTATTTCACTGTGATCTTTTGAGTCATTTCCAGTCAGCCACATAACTGAATACATTTAAACATACCAACACCCTCTGTGCAAGAGACTAACGGTACTAAGCCCCTTATAAATAAGCCATTATGACTACTGTGGGAGCAAACTAACACCAACGCTATACTAACACAGGCAATGCTTGTCATTAATTAAAAAATAGTTAGCATACGCATTAGCACTTACACCATCCGTGTTACTGTAAAGATAATACAAAGTACCTTCGAGCTGTTTCTGTTTCTGAATATTCGGCTAAAAAGTGCAAAAAGTTGGACAAAAGCGGGGACACTTACGACTCGTATCCTTCAGACAGACGAATGTACGTTCAGGGTGACAGTAATGAGTTGTAAGTCCCTCATACGGATGCGTAGCTGTAGCAGCAGTCCAACTTCTTCCCGGAGCAGCAGAAGACGGACGGAGCCGCAGGGTAGTCTGGATGACAGGCGGTGCTCGCGCTCCGGTGAGCACAGGTGACGTCACTCTGACTGTACACAACTGAAGGTGCGTTAAAGTGCTGCTCGTAAGACTCTGTGTCATGTGGTTTGTTTGTTTTTACTGGCTGTGTATGAGTCTAAAAGAGGATAAAAGAAGGATTGGGAAAGTAGAAATCTTAGTATTTAGTCCATCGGTACAACAGAGAACACAGTGCCGTGAAATTTATAAAGCTCTTTTTACGTGACTTTAATGTAACACCCGATTTTAGTGAAATTGAGTAAAAAATAAAACATACAACACAGTATGTCAGTATCTGATAACAACCCATATATTACCACATGCATTGTAAATACTTTTTCCAGTCTACCAATGTAAGGACTATTCATATTACAAATCATAGTTATGTACATTATATTATATTTTCTTTCTAATAATAAAACTGTAGCTGGAGGTTAAATTGAGCACACACCCAACGACTTCACTGGCTGCATTGAAAAGACAGCAAATGTTGCCTTGAGAGTCATGAATATTTGAGAGGCAGGTAATCTAAAACTTTTGGGGGGATTTTTGAAGGAGACACCCAATCCACCATTGAAAGCCACCACTGGGTCTGTAAATCTAATTAGGATAACTGATACTCTTGTATTGGACCATATCTGATTACTGACTCTAGATGACAGCATGTAAACATTAACATGACATTTTTTTGGTCACAAGTTGAAAGTCCTCCTAAATCCTGAATAATGCACAACTAAGAGAAGCACCACTGGACCACATCAAATGGTGACATATTTAAATTTTTCTGCATGCTAGTTTCCAAACAAACTATTTTACAAAATGAAAATCATTCAGCATTTTGTTTATTCCTTTTTGCTCTGGTAAAAATGAATAGCACATAGCTACATAACATAGCTAAATAGATTTAAGCCTACTTTAAGCCCCAAAATATTTTATTTTGTAATTTTTATCATGCAATTTGTTTGTCACAATAACTATAATTGTACATTTAAGATCCAGACCAGTAGTTTATGTGGTAGTCCACTACTGTATACTTGCATGGACAATGGCTCCCTCAGGTGGCCTTAAAGGGGACATGCAGATCTGCATATTTGAAGCCAAATCCCAAACCAATTAACTTGCTCACAGGGAGAGAATAGTGAAGAGAAGAGAGGATATGCACTGGAGAGTTAATCACCACAAGGGACCAGCTCACTCTGGGGAAATACTACACAAACAAAGTACTGTATTCATGTAAAATCCTGAACTTGGATTGATTCTTGGACACAGAATTATGCAAAACAAGCTGTCCTGCCTTAGAAAATATGACCCTAAAAAATAGATTCAACTCCTGTGGCATATTATAAGAAAAAACTACAGTACTTGTAAGATATGTATGTTTTAGCTTCAGGGTAGACTCGGCAGCACTGTATCTCCATTAGTGTTTAGAACACACACCTGACTGCGTCTTATGAATAATAATAATCTTAAAATGAACTCTCTGAATAAGGCCTCAGTGAACAACCTCTCATATTCCCCTGTTAAGATCTGCAAAGTAAAAACCAGTTCTTTCCTTTATATATTAGGTCTGTGGTATCATTCATCTTGTTGCATTGTTTATTTGTATCCATTTAGACTATATCAATTTTTAATTTGAAATAAATTACATGACATGGTAGACATCACAGGCACTTTACAAAATATAGTGCATTTTAAAAGAACACAGAGAGTAAAGTTGTAATCATATTACACAGACAATAAAATACATTAAGAACTCATACTATCACATTATTGAGCATCTAAAGTGAAATGCATTATAACCCATTATAAAGTTTATTCTTACAAAAGAATTCAGGCAACAAAACAAAGTGAAGTGCAGGTAAAGCACTAGAGCTACAGAGTGGGGTTCAGGTTGGCTATGTGACTTGTAAAGATAAATGCTTATAATAGCCTAATGTTGATAAATGTTAGAACAATTCTCTAATTATGTAAAGGTTTTTGTACATTAACTTTTATAAATATCTGAGTTTAAAGTTGATTCAGGGTATGTATCAGGCTCCTCCACTGTCAATCACTCGACTACTTTCCCAGCCAATTATCTGTTGGGCCCCAGCTGCTTTGGACTTTATCTGTGAACTGTTTATGAAAGTCCTATCACACACATTCTGTGGTGCATGTGGAGGAACATGAAATGTTTCTGTAGGACCACCAGTGTTCAAAGATCCTGAAAGCTGGCAATACTTCTCTACTTCGGTCTGGAAATACCTCTACAGGTAGGCCATCCACATTTTGAGACACAGTATACTGTTAAACCCAAGGTGACTGTCCCCCCCCCTCCCCCTCCAGGGGTTATATTTATTCCGGATATACGTCTCGCCAAATTTCTAACAACAAAGCTGAATATGTATTTGGTTTAAGCAAATGTTGCTTCCATCTTTAGCTTTTTATATCAAGCATTAATTAATCTGGATGATATGTACGGATTGATTTGAAAACAATTCTTTCTTAGACTTGTATCTAGACTTGTATTTCAAAAGTGTGGTTCACCAAATATTTCTCAGGATAAAGAAATTATGCTTTTTGGGTATATATGTGTGTGAACCAATGCTGATTGTATAGGTTTTAAATTAAAATGTGATCTTCACTTATTGCAACGGGGCGTGTTCTCTACAGAATTTAGTATGTAAACTGGATTTATGGAATAACGGCTATTGTGGAATTAATTGCATTGCTGTTTCACTGCTGAAACAAACTTTTACTTCAGATTCCTGTAAATACAGTACTACTATGATTTTCATCATCACTCTTTAGTTATTTTGTGAAATGATTTGTATTTTCTTAATCTCTCTTGTTTCTCCAGTGAAGCCTACCAACCAGCCCATGTAAAGGATGAGAGGAGAGAAGCTGTTATTGCCCATGATATTAATGTCTTTACAGACATTATATGGACAGCACTTGGCAGAGGAGTCCTGCACTGTTCAGATCCTGGTTCCTGGACTCAAAGGCACACTGTTCTATATATATTTTATTACACACAGTATGCAAAAGAAAACAAAAAACAGACTCTGTGTTCAAACGTTCTTATTGCTTTTTCTCTGTCTTCTTCTGCAAAAGGAGAACCAGGAGAGAAAGGACAAAAAGGAGCACCAGGGAGACCAGGAAGAGTTGGCCCTCCTGGAGAGATTGGTACAGTGCTAAATATTTTGCTAAATATTTCTGCTTCTCGTCATTTATTCAATACTACCATGAAGCTGAAAAGAAAAATAACTGGGGTAAAGATCACATTGCTTGGGCTGAGCTGATAATGTCCTGTTACATCACTGCCAGGCCATCCAGAGATGGCCAAGTGTTTACATTTGGGTGAGAGGTTGGAGGAGAAATGATTTGCAGAATCCACTGCTGTGGACAAGTGTTTACTGAAGACCTTAATGAGGAGTTCACATACTTTTCAAAAGAGATTACGCAGACTCAGCATTTTTAATTAATGCACCTTAGTAGAATCAAATAGCGGTTTTAGAATTTCTCCTTTCACATTTCATTTGTGGTCTTTTAAGGTGCAGAAATCTTGTCTAACATGGGATGCATACAGTGACAGATATTTTTCTTTTTCAGGTCAACCTGGGCTGAAAGGTCAGAAAGGCATAATGGGACGTTATGGAAAAGTGGGCCCAAGTGGGATGAAAGGTAATTACAAAATGCCTAAATGTATTTCACATGTAGTTGTTTTGTAATGAAATAAGTCTAGTGCTTTTCATGTTTTAAGAATAATTACATTTCATATCTCAGGGGTAAAAGGAGACATGGGGGATCCAGGTCCGAGGGGCCCTAATGGAGATCCAGGTGAGATATTATACCCAGTGATTCAGTTTGTGAAACAGATTATTCCAGGATTAGAAAGTCACATTTGGTGAAATTTGAGAACTAATTAAGACAGCCCTGTGATAATCCTCGACATTTTTGCCTTATCAGGTGTTCCATGTGAATGCATGCCAATGAGAAAGATGATCGGAGAAATGGACATTCTTGTGGCCCAGCTCTCCTCTGAGCTGAAATTCATAAAAAATGGTATGATTCATGCTATTTCTGTGTTTTGGAAACATTCTGACATTAAATCTTTATCGTCAGTTCTTGTATTCATTCTACTGCTTCACTAATTATCCTCCTAGAATTGCAAATGCTGCGCATGTCAATGTGAAATTTATAGAAATACAAGTGCTCATTTTTCAGCACTGCCCTCCCCTGCAGCTGTTGCTGGCATAAAAGAGACAGACAGTAAGGTCTATCTGTTGGTGAAGGAGGAGAAGCGCTACTCCGACGCAGAGGTCTACTGTCAGACGAGGGGAGGGCACCTGGCCATGCCCAAGGATGAGGGAGCCAACGCGGCCATCGCAGAGTACATAACCGAAGCGGGCCTGAACAGAGTCTACATTGGCATTAATGACCTGCACCGTGAGGGCGTTTTCACCTACGTGGATCTCTCTCCCATGACCACTTTCAGCAAGTGGAGAAAAGGAGAGCCCAACAATGCCTACGATGATGAGGACTGTGCTGAGATGATGGCCACTGGGGAGTGGACGGATGTGGCGTGTCACCCCACCATGTATTTTGTTTGTGAATTTGACAAGGACAGTGTCTAGGTTCAGCCTATGTTAGTCCTCCTCCACTCAAAAATATGTTTTTCTTCTTGTTCCTACAGTTGGATGTTTGAGCTTCACTGTGCATGATGTATGTGCAGAGTTTGATACTACAAGGGTGTTTTCACAGTCATCTGCTGGAAGTGGAAAGTTTCTCTGTGCTCATCGAATATCTGATTTTTAAGGGGCGGGGCCTGAAAGCCTGATTTGTTACATCACAAATCACCTGGAAGTTAGTCCTGGTCCAATTTTAAACTTATACAAGTGTAAGAAACTTGAAGCACAAACACTGTGAATGGACTTTACAGTGAAGTAGGAGACATCTTGTGTCCAGCAGGAAATCTTTAGAAATTAACACAATTTGCATATTCATAAATTCAGGAATTTTTTATAAGGTAGAAGGAGTAGATGCCCTTTTAAGGATTTCAGTGTGAAAATTAGACTTTTTTTTATGTGAAAAAGACATTACAGACACATATTATTGTTCCAAGCAGACTATTTGTATGTGGCTTAATACATGTCTGGAGGGGATCTTTAAAGAAAGGATAAATATAATGGAACAAAAGTCAGATATATTGTTTGTGTTATATCTTCTATCTGTAAATAGGATGACAAAATAACATGCAAGTTGTGCAAACTATTTTCCACTTTCTCTTTTTCTTGTAAGCTCATAAGCTATTTATTTTCTTATCTCACAAAAAATCCCAGAGTTTTTGTTCTTTTGTGAGATTTTTACTTTTTTTAACTACACCCTTTGTCTCATACTCAGTGGTTCATTAGCATTTCAAACAGCATGCCGGGCAATATATTGAGTTTTTATGTTATGCAAACTATCCACTGAACAATATTTGTAAACAGTGCCATCAACAAACAAGACAAATAAGCAAATGTAGAAGGCTGTTTGTGCATAAAATATGAAATTAAAGAGAGATTTTGGTTCCAGATGGGTGCTTTTAATCAGAGAAATTGAATACAATATTCATTCTATATTCATACAATAAGTTATGTGGCGGTTGTTGTCAAGTAAATTTTCACTGATCTGTCTGTGCATTATCTTCTGCCCCTGAGCTGATCTAGTGCAGCGGCTGAACAAAACCCAGCAGTGTAAGGCAGCCTCCACCCAGTGGATGAAAGCTGTACTGCACTGAAACAATTTCTTACAGTAGGATGTAAAGTTAGTGGCCGATCTATGTAGGCCTTTTATATTGGAGACATACTGACTTGTCATAGAAGGAAAAGCCCAGGTAATAACATTAACAATAGCTGTTCTATTCAAGTGTCACGGTATGCTATGACAGTGTAACAGTGAGTCAGCATGCACAATACCAGGTACCTGAAATCAAAGCGGCAGAAAACTCAACCATAATTTTATTATTTACACCTGTGCTTTTCCTACAGTAAAATATAATCAGTGAAATCACCCTTTGTGTTTCAGTTTAAAAGGTCTACACATACTGTAGCTATCTAAGCTAAAGTCCATGGTATAAGAGTGAATGTTAAGCTTGGACCATTGTGGGTTATTATTTTTTTTTATAGCTGTTGCAGTAGATGTGGTATTGCATAAATACTGTGTATGTATTTCTGAAAGTGTTTTATGAGGAAGGAAATGCATTCATTACACCCTAGACCTCAAGGATGCCTACATGCATTTTGATACCACTCTCGATGCTTTGGTTTGTTTATAATAAAACTCCAGAAGGAACCACCAGAGCACAGTGATTACATAATGTGACAAAGGAAACTCACCCACTGATTCTAAGCTTGACAAGACACTTGATTCTCTGTCACATTGTGTTACATTGACACTGGAAGAACATCACTAAGGAAAAAAATGTGATAACTTGAGCAAAAAACACATAGATTTTAAAGCTGCGCAGCAGATTTGACTTATAAACATCAAGGGATATATTATTTTGACTTAATTGTAAGGGATTTATCTATATTAATATTGATTTTGGTAAAATATTGAAATCTATCATAAGTTAATTAAATCTGGTTACTAAACTAAACACACCGGCAAATAGTGTTTATCTAAATTAACACAGACAGTTTTGCTGTGACATGACGATTATTTAAAAATAATGGATTATCGAAACACAAGAGAGTTTGAAATAATAATAAATTAATCACACGTGGTAACAATACAGCAGCATAATGTTTGCTGAATGACAAAAACAAGACATTACATACTTTAGGTTACTATGACATTTTCATCTTTGTAAATCCTCTATGGTTTAGTTCTGTGATTAATAGAAGTTGTCTTACAGGCCTGGCTTCTATTGTTTTTTAGGATGGGCATCCCAGCTGAGATGATATCCTATTGAGCCCCTCTAAGACGAGGAATTTGAATATGCATGATGCAGTTCTCCTACTAAAGCACAGCACCAGTCCCTTAAGAAATGAATAATTAATGTTGAGATGAATTATGCATTTAATTGACCAGGAGTTGTCTGGCATAAACCAATTAGCTGCCATTGTTGGTGCAATCTCAAGTTACCTTTGTGGTAAACAATTTGGACAGCTTTGTCTAACAGTGGACAGGCTGATAATCTGTGGTGAAAAAATGGCCTGCAAATGAGAGATTGGCTACAGTACATGGAAATGTAAAAAAACACATCCTGCCGTTATGTACAGCAACCTTGGAAATATCATTTTCCAACTGTGGTACTGATGTTTTAGCTTGTGAAACAGATTAAAGTTAAACCTGTCAAAAATTTGGAAAGGCAAGCTCCAAGAACGGTGTCAACAAGTCACCTGTCAGTCTTTGGTGACTGCACAAAGAAAAAACTAGTATTAAAACTAAAATACATCAAAAATACAAATAAATGGGTGCACTTTTTTTGTCTCTCTCTACAGCGTTTCATATCCTTATTTTCAAATATACTTTGATAGATGTGATAGATTGGAGGGAATGGGCAAAAACGTTGGGGAAAGGTGGTGTTGAGGTGTAAAGTAGCCCTACTCTAACCTTTAAACTTTGTCAGTTCATAAGGTTGTGTACCAATGGCTCTCATCGCCATCCACATATCGGTGGACAGCCTGTGGTGAAGAAAGATTAAATACCCATATATAAACGTGTAAAAGTTGCTGGACGAAACCAAGGCTAAAGGTGAGCCAATATTCAACTTTAACAGGATGTCTTGTTTATGCCAGATGTAACATCAGTAGGCTGTTGTTTGTTTAAGAAAATAGACGATATAGGATAAGGCTTGATGCTGCAAATGTGTATCAGTCTTTCTGTTCCCAAAAGGTCAAAGTTATTTATTATTTATTGCAACTTGCCCCATGCCCCAGCACCTGATGCAAAAGTCAGTCTTCAAAATGCAGATCAAGGACTGCAGCTGACTCTGTTTCATGTTATATAAGTGCAGTGGTTACCTAAATATAGGGGCCCCAAACACCTGTAAAATAAAATAAAATCACACAACCTATAACATAGAATGCAAAGAAATACTAAATATAGCCAAAGTAAAGATGTCAGCTCATTTCGAGGCACTATAACCCAATTTAATTAACGTTACACATGTTAAAGTCCAAGAATAGATCTGATATATGACTACCAATAAAAGCTGGTTACCTTGGAAACGCTTCAGTTTTTGGAACCAAACACTGAATTCGCGTTACACACACAAACAGAAGAAACCACCAAACAACAACAAAGACGGTGGGATAGGTGTCCTGCAGCTACACCTCTCATGTGGGAGAATTGGTTTCAATATCAGATGTTATCTCCAGTTACGTCTGCGGAGGCTCAACACAGCTTCCAGTGACACATTTACTTTTGACACCAAGCGCCATTATTGTGTAAACTGCGCCTGTTAGTTACAGCTAAAGTATGCCGGCCACCACGGGAAGAGCTGACCTCCCGCCGACAAAAACTATAATTGTCTACAGGAACGGAGACGCTTTCTTCCCCGGAAGGAAAATAGTTGTGAACCCGCGGCAGGTGACGACCTTTGACCATTTTTTGACCTCTCTGACCAGAGGGCTTGAGGCTCCGTTTGGCGCCGTGAGGAAGCTGTACACTCCCAGAGAGGGCCACAAGGTTCATCATTTAGACGACTTGAAACATGGGAGTGTGTATGTCGCAGCCGGAAACGAGCAGTTCAAAAAGCTGGAGTAGGTACCATACTGTAAGGTGTGTCTTGTCTCTGTGTGTGTGTGTGTGTGTGTGTGTGTGTGTGTTGTTGGGTGGGCATTTGACTGTGCTGGAACTCTATAGTCCTTAAAATATGTCAATACGTTAATGAACTGAAGTGCAGAGTAACCTGAATAATCAATATGTATACATACAGTATCTTAAACAAACTCTAACTTGAATGTTTAATGTGCAGTCTTGTGGACCACTATTCTTATAAAATCAGTCTAGTGTGCATAATGAATGAATGCGTGATTTATTCAGGTGTCAAAAAGTGTTTTTATTTTATTTTAATTGGTGTTATCGGGTCTAGAGATGTCTTCCATCTATCTAATAGACCACCAGTGACTTTATGGGTGTCACGTGTAGCACCTGAAGTTCCTGGGTTTAAGTCATTTACATGATTTCTTAATGCCTTCCAGATATTGTGAGATAGCAACCAAGAAGCCACAGAATAAGAAAAGGGAACAGGTAAGTGTTTGATGAATTACACTGAAAATGTATAATAAAGAGTGATCTTTAGTGGGAGGTTGAAGCCATAACCTAATAATACTGCCTGCACAGTTGTCTGAATGACAATAATCAGAACCAAACAGTGATAATAAGTCCAAGTATCACTTATAGCATCAGAGTTTAAGGAAGACACCTAAAAATGCCTCATTCCTTATTTACCACTGCTCCGTATTCACTTTCTGACCCCTAGTGTTCAAAACTTTTCAGATCCGACCTGTTGTTCACAGCAGAATAGTAGTTTCTGCTCGCTGGGGAAGAACTACAGATGAGTCCTGCACAATAAAGTGAGTATTGATTTTAAGCTGGATACAAAGTTATCCTGAATGTAAAAAGGTTTATGTTCTTTGCTGTGTTATGTAGTAAATAGATGATGTTTTCTTCCTGTGTCCTTTTCAACAATTGAATGATTATCTCTTCATGTCTCTATTATTTTTGTTCTGTTCCGTAGTGTCTTTACCAACGGAGAGGTCTTAGTTCCTCCAGTTCGAATACGGATCCCAAAGTATACTCTCAGAAGCTGGGAAAATGTTTTAGGCATGGTGACAGAGAAAGTGCGACTTCGCACTGGTGCTGTTTACAGGTAATGTCCGACATCAGTACATTATAAACCCTTGTAGTTTTAAATTAGTCATGTACCAGTGAGGACAACCAAAGGTATAACCTGTAGTTTTCCTGGATTAAGTAAATAGGACCAGATTGTAAAGAATACTGAATCTTTATTCTCTGGAGGGTATCAACTTCTTTAATATAGATATAGGTAGAGGGAAATGTGATTAGTGGAGATTTTCCAGTGAGTTTAAATGCAGCAAAAATAAGCAGAGTGGAAGGATTTTTTTAATGTATTAGTGATTGGGACCATGTCTGGTTGTGATGTGCTCACAGGGGTTAATCCAAAACTGATTGTCAGACTTTGATGGATTTTTAAAACATGAAATTTATCCACTCAACCAATATTTGAGACATCTATGTCTCTTCTGTATCCAAAACACTGATAATTATAGGCATAGTTCAAACACCCCCAAAACATTGCTTTAATTTGTGGTGTTTCTTTATTTGAGTTCTCAGGCTTTGCACATTAGATGGACATCCTGTCTGCGGTCCCGTTGAACTGGAGAACAACCAGCACTATGTTGCAGTCGGTGCAGAAAAGTTTAAAGCTCTCCCGTATGAGCAGTGCGTCCCCTGCAGGGATAGAATCAGGGAAAATCACATGTTGGAAGGGTACGAGACCTATGAGGTTGTTATCTACATAATTTAAATAAATGCCGGAGCCCTATTTTGGTGTCAAAATGAAAGAGAATATGTTTGCCAATTTTGTTTTCCCTTTTTTGTCCCTGCAGCCACTACATCCTGCCTGCTATTAGAAAGACAAGACATGCAAAGGATGTGGTAAGTAGTATTGCTACAGAGTTAGGTGCAGTTTGCCATCTGGTCGTTCACTTGCTCACGACATGCTAAATTCCCTCCAGTTTATTGCTGTAACACCGTGGTAGCATCACTGTTGAAAAGCGTATCTTTGCACATGCACACACAGCATTTCAATTAACATTTCCCATGTGCGAGACTTGTTGTGGGGGTGCAATTCGTTATGAAACAGCGCTATCATCAATCACTGTCTGCAGGAGGCATTGAGTTACCTTTGCTTTCCACTTTGATGGGTAATCCCCACAGAGACAGGCTGGCCCACTTGATCAAGTGCAGTGAGCCTCATAGACAGATCATATGCACCGGGGGGACTTCACTGACTGAAAACAAAAAAAAAAATCTCTTATTCAAACCAGAACTGGGACAATTTGTATTGTGATTAAGTAGACAGTGAAGTGCTTTGAATCCATATGAGGATTGCGCTGCTGTGGGCCTGAGTTGAACACCAAATCACACGGTGAAGATGAGAACATGCCCAGTCAGCAGGTTGAGGTGGAGATGGGGGGGCCCCCTGTGAGAGATCTGTCTGACATCTGATTTTTTTAACCATGAAAGATGACAATGCTGTGGCAGATGCCAATTTTTTTTCAGATGGAGAAAAATGCCTCATGCCTTATCTCTAGCTGTGTCTGTGGTTGACTACCTATATATTCAGAAATACAATGAATATTTATTAGTAATCAGTCTGAATGCTGTAGCTTATTTGTAAGATTTCTTCATCTTATTAAAAACTATCCAAGCATAAAACAATACTGTTGAAACACGAACTTTGCTGAACTGAGGTTTAGTCTTTAGGTAGGAACATCTGAATCAATACTGTTAAGACCACAGCCTTTGCCATTTCATATAGTACCATGAGGTGGAGACAAAGACAGAGCTATGCCTGTGTTTTCCATCCACCAGCTCATTGTAGTGTTAGTCATTCAATGGACATGATGCTGCCGCATTTTACTCCCTTTGCCTCTACGTCTGATCCTCATGAATTTGTAAACATGATTTGGTTAATAAGCACCTTTTCAGAGGGGAAAGATACATGTGCCAAAAATTGCCCACTGTGTCTTGATCTGTCGGCTGTTAAGCTTACTGATTACACATACATTTATAGGGTCATGTCCGTCATTAATTTCAGTTTGACCTCACAAAACAACAGCAGTCTGGTTTGAAATGCCTGTAAAAAGATCCTTTAAACATGCCCGCTCAGGCTGTGTAAAATGTAACCTTGCTCCTGCAACCTCGCTGTATGGGAACGGTGTCTGTCCTGTCCTGTCTGCACCGGAGCGTTTCTGCACTGCTGAATGGGACATCTGGTCTGGAGCAACCACTGAAGTCTAAACTGACGGCTCTGCGGAGTGTAATATTGAAACTCTCTAGCACACCGTGTTCCCATCGGAAGCAAGCATATATGCTGAGTTAGGTGTTCACAGACATGATGAGGTAGAAACTTTTGAGGTAGACATGGCATAAAGAGAAGATTAATAGTGGGGAGAGAAATCCAAAGAGATAAAGAGAAAAAGAGAATAATGATGTGCATCAAAGCAAAGAACTTTCGTATTACAGTAATAATAATGTGCTGCACAATTGTGCTTCACATGTACTTCACACAAACAGCCCAGAAAGGCTGACTAAACCTTTTAATAGCTGCTCTCCCTGACATCAGCGATGACTCGCTGCTGCTCCCTGTTTCTCCACTGTTTCTGGATGATCTCATTGGTGAGGGGAAGTAGCAATGCCCCGTGGAAAACTATACCGCCTTACTGCTGCCAGCATGTCTGCTCACTGAGGACCCGGCCCTGGGAGTGGCTCCTACTGATACCACAACCAGTATGGCTGGAGGCTGGCCGGTCCAATTGGTTGGGACCCCCGTTTTCCCCTGCCTATCATATCACGGTGTCCTCTTGTTGACTCCTGTTCTCTGCCACTTGAGAGGGCCAGAGATTACTTGCCGCTCTGTCCCCTTGAGCCCCTTTCACAGTAACTCTAGCGCTCTGTTTCTCTCTCTTGGTCTCTCTCTCTCTGGGGCCTCCTGATACACACAGTTGTCTGCTCCCACAGGACACGGTACTGTAGATATGTAATGCAGAATGAGAGGCGAGATGACCTCAGCTTTTCCACTGCCTGTGTTTCCACTTGTGCTGCTACTTGTACTGTACTCTCCTGGCTCTGAGGCGCCCCCCCGTCCTCTGCGTTCTCCTCCCTGAGTGAGACACTCTTGATTTAACTTTGTTGATTTAAATAAGATCTATTTACATCTCACCACCAGGCTGTAAACACGGAAAACAAGCTGTTCAATTTTTGATTGCCCAGATGTATTTTGATTCTGAACTTTATCACGAAGTTGTTACACATCACTCACAGATGGAATTGAGGTTACGAAACTGAATTAACAGCTTACCGCTGCGACAGTGCCACTGCTCTTCTGTCTTTGATCTTGTGTGGTTATGTGGACACTACAGCGCTGGAGTCTGAACTCTGTTTCAACTCCCCTTCGCTGAATATGCCAAGCAAACTTCACTCCTCTTTTGTTGTTTTATTTTTCTCCCTCGGCCCACCAACGGCTGTAGAAATTCAAAAGAATATCAACAGACTTTGCCTCGGCATTAAAGAAAGCAAACAAGTGAAGAAACAACGGCACTATTCCCCGGAGTCCATGTTAGTGAGCTTGCAAACACCATTGCCAGAAGTGTATTCTGGTGGAAGCCTGAGATCACTACACTATCCCCCGAGCCAGCCCAGGGATCCAGCCAGGCAGCTGCAGTAAAGAGCACTGTAGCTGAAAAGAAACATTAAGTCTGCTCTCTCCCGCTCTCTGCGTCTGTGTCTCTCATTCTCTGTAAGGGAGACATACCTCACCTTGCTACCTACAGAGGGGATGAGGAGCCTGCAAGGAGAAAATTGCCTTTTGTGGAAGCATTAATTCAGATGTGTACCCTGCTGTCGGAACATCACTCTGAACTCTCCCCACTGCTCTCTCGCTTTCTCTCTCTCTTCCTCTCTTGCTCCTTCACTCTCCCGCCATGCAACTCCCAAGCCTCTTTTTTTTTTCTCCCCTTCCCTCTCCATCAATAACCTTCTGCTGTCTACTGCTGAAGAATAAGTTATTCCCTACAACTCCCTCCCTTTCCCTTTAAGCTTGTTTGGATTTTCATTGTTTGATCTGGCTTGATAAATAAGACAAATGCAGTTAGAAATTCATGGCTGCCCCATTTCATCAATAAATGATTAGTTTGCCACGCTCCCCAGTGATTGATAGGTTGTGCACGGGATGTATTGGAACCAGATGAATTCAATACAGTTGGAGTCATGGGGGAGCTACAAAGCATATCAGCTCATGAAAAATTGAGGTCAATAGAAAATGTAAAAAAACGTTGAGAAGAGAAACAAGTTTTGCACTGATGTGTTTTGTCTTTTTTTTTCTTCCACTTTACAAAACAACAGCAAAAAGTCGATGATGAATCACAGCGAAATCTGAGGAAATATGCCTTAATCTGTGCCCCTGTTTTCTCTTCTCTTTTGTCTCTTCATGTAGTTTGCTCGTACAGGCTTTAGAGAGGACCTTGAGCACACAGCCAGGGGCCAGATGAAGAAACACACAGCCAAACTGGAGAGAACCAAACAACAGAGGCAGGTGTCCAGGAACCCAGTTCTCTTCACGACGGGGGGTAAGCAGAGCAATTCTATAAGAATATCTCTCTCCCCGTCTCTCTCTTTCTCTCTCCAGCCGTAGTGTTTTTCTTTCCCTTCAACACCTCCTTTCTCACTATGACGATATGAAGAAACCTGTTGGCTTTTGTAGACAAATGTGTATGTGTTTGGGTACAGTATGTATGCACAAGTGTAAGAAGGACTACATTTGGGCACACGTGTAGGCATGTGCATTGTACATTCCCACCGTGTGTGTGCAACATTTGACAGTTGATTGAGCTTTCTTTTGACTCAACCTGTTCTTTTAATTCCAAACAGAACACAGCTCCCTGCTTTCTGAAAGAAACACCAGTCTTTTCTGTGAATATTTAACAAGACTTCAAACACTGTCATGGGGGGGTTAAATCATAGATGAATTCAATCAGGCCATTTTGTTGAATATGTATACAGAAAGCCTAGTTAACTGTGTGTGTGTGTGTGTGTGTGTGTGTGTGTGTGTGTGTGCACAAAATGCTCCAATTTTCTCCTAAAGTGGGGATAAAAATGGTAATAAGTTATTAATCACACATAACGCTGACAGAAGATCATATAAGTGACAAAATAATTAAATGTATGAGTTTGAACATTGTAGCAGTTGCACTGTTTAAAAGTGATACTCTTGTTCATCATTAACACAGTAATTGTGTGTTTGCCAGTAATTCAGTAGCTGTCATTTCATGTGTTTGTTTTACCATCTGTGCACAGTAATACACGACTTGAAAGACTCATTATGTACCACTTTTAACATGACATGATATGGTAGCATAGATGAGCTTATTCACAGTTTGAAACCCGTGATTCTTTTCATACGAGGCAACTAAGACAGCTGACCATACCTGTAGTATGGTTTCCTCCCATAAAACCCAATACTTAAGGCCTAGAGTTAAAACGATGAGTCTTCTTTATAACTAAATCACCTCTCATACAGGGAGTTCACAAAGCTTTTGGCACCAGATTTCTTCCATCGTTTTGTCTTTTTTAACTGGAGTGAGTCTAGAAAGAGATTCAAAAGTAAGACTAAAAGCATAAGTCTGCAAGTTTTGTTACTGTATAATTGCCTCTTTGAACTAAACTTACTTAACTACATACATTTTTCTATGCATTGTTCCTCTGTGTTATCACTAATGAATCTACCATGCTTTGTTATTTATTATTTAAATGAAATTACTTAAGGCTATTGAAGTAGATTCAAGCTCAATAGTGTCTTTAATTATTCACATTCTGCCCCATATCAGATCCAGCAGTCACAGACAAAAGGAGTTTGTTTACAAGGAAAAACAGTGTGATGTTGCCGTATAAGCTATTCCCCTCATGCATCAAGAGCAACCTGTCACTGTCAGGAACTAACCCTGGACGGAAAGTTCACGCTGGCTGGCCATATTTGTGGCAGGGCAGCTGTGGCTTTCTGTGGCCCTTTGTCCGTGGGACCACTCTAAATAAATAAATGGCTTGACAGCAACATTGATCTCTTGTGAAGTTGAACAGGAAAAGCAAAGGGAGAGGACAGGAGGGCAGTGAGGGATGGGTAGTATAGAGAGACAGAGAGAGAGAATGAGTGTGCAGAAGAATGAGACGGTGACTGCCAGCAGATGAGGTAATTGTGATTAATCACTTTTCTCAGAGGGCAGCGTGTTCAATGCACAAAACAAAAGAAGTGAGATGGCAGGAGCAGCGGAGGTGCAGGAAGACCGCCAGCTTAAGGTGGACCTGCCAATTGATCAGGTAAAGCACAACCCCACGCAGCCCGATGAGGTCTTTAGCGTACAATCTTTGAACAGCTTTGTCCTGTTTATCTGACAGGAAGTAAGAATTGAGTCCAATCTGAAAACACTATTATCAGCATCACCACAATAAATGTAGGCCACCTGGGCATGTGCTGATTCCATTTAACTTGAATATATGCTCCTGACTGTGTTCTTGTCTGTGAAGACAAACAGATGTATACAAGTTGATGAATCTCACAACAAGCTGTCAACATTTGATTTGTTAAATCTATGGTTTAAAAGAAAAAGGTGCCTGCACCTATATCACCCTCTTCCCATTTTCCTCTCATTAAGCTTTACTTTTCTGTGTGTTTTTCAGCTTCAAAAAGAATAGGGAATATACTTCTAGCACAGTAGCATATCATTTTCTGCTCAGAATAAGGCCCATGAATGCTCAGTAGAACATGTTACATAAATATATAAATATTTAGCAAAATCAATACAGCAGTACAGTACAGTGTAAGCCAAGGGGGATCTTGTTTTCTCCCTCCCCGCAGGTTGAGGCCAAGATAGTTGACGAGGAGAACGAGGATGGGAGTTGTTATGCGAGTCCCTGCAAGGCCTCCCTCCATGATTCAGACAGCTCATGTCTGCAGAGGTCTTTGTCTACAGGTTCCAGGAAGGATGTAAGTACCCTTATTATGAGTTTCATGTAGTTACTATTTCACGTTAAGTTCATTTTTACTTTATTATTATGTCCAATTTTTTCATTTGCTTTTGGATTAGGTCACAAAAAAATGTTTAACCAGCAATTATGGTAATCACCATTTCCATAATTGCAAGAGCGTCAAATAGACCTGCTGGCAGCAACTATACTTTTATCTGATGTGTGTGTAACCTGTTTTTCTGTCTCAATGGTTCTCGTGGTTCTGTGTATTGTGTACTGTGTATTTACCAGCACAACCTTTCTTCAGGGCGAGGAGTCAGTAAAAGACTCAGGGCACAGTACAGGATTACAGACACCTGAGCCCCATTTTCAACTCAATGCCAGTTATAGAGCTTAGCTGGAGCCACAGATACTGTATGTATCACAGCATCAAGCTTAAAAAGTGTGTATTTGCGATTAGAGTAGAGCCCCATAACAGTATGCGGTGTATTTGATGTCTGTCCTTTACTCTGGTTATTGTGTATGTTCACAGTGATGAAGTATAGGGCTGAGATGTGTGTACAGATGTTTCTGCATGGATCTGTGGTTCCTAGAAATTACACTCATTTAAATACACTTATTTTGCTCTAATAATCCTCGAGGGACAGCAATATGAAGCAGTGTAACTGTGATGAATGCACACAATAGTTGGGTGATATTACTATTCCAAGCAATTTCATTCGGCTTTGAAATGAGAAGATATTGAGTCTTATTTAAGCAATCAATAACCTTGAACATTTTGTTTTAATGAAAACTATAATTTCAAGCAGTGGCAATTACACCATAGGGGAATGTTTTGGTGTGGTGATGATTTTGCTGCCGTATGCACTTTTGCAATAAAGATATTCTTATCGGGGTAATTATTGACTTCTGAGGGCCAGTTATGACCCTGGCTAAAGACCTCATCAATAGCTTAATTCATTACTTATCGCTTTTAGTCATACATGAATGTTGCTGATTCAGATTGGCTATGGATTGCAGGGAAAGACCATTAGATAATGGAAAATAATAATAATAATCCCTGGTACAGACTCGTTTTTGCAATAACCATCCCACCAAGCAGTTTTAGATTTGTCAGCCAACGAAGACTGACATAAAGCGAAGGTAGGGTTTTTATTGTTTCAAGCTCTCCAGTTGCAAACATGATGCCAGAACCAATCGGACTTAGCTTGTTAAATTCAGTTTACACTAGAAAATGCCCATATTGTACCATACCAACATTTTGTTTCGCAGCAATTTTGTTCATGTTTTACTGAGGATTCCAGTGTATTTATAAAAAGATGTCATCAGACCAAAAATAATGATGGTGCAAGTGAGACTTTCCTAACTTAAAGTCTAACCATCATTCATGCATACTCTCGTCTTTTCCCTTTGAGGCCAAACAGACTCTCGCTGTCTCGTTGTCGGCAACCTCATCATTTAGAGGGCTGTGAATAATAATGAGGGATAACTGCGCTGCTATGACTCATACTTTGAGCTGAGTTTGGACAGATTTCCTCCCACTCCTGTGCTCATATGTGCTTGTGAAATGCCCAGCACACTCTGTATACGCGCACGTATATAGTAGATATTGATGACCAAATTCAATTACATGATTACATTTTCAGCCCAAGCTTTAAATGATTTATTGCATTGAATTTAAATAGTGAATACATTTACAGACAGTACAGCGGTGAGGCAGTTGTGCGCGCGCGATATTGACCTGTGCGGTCCAGGCCAAATAAAGAATAACGAGATTCAGCATCTCTGCCAAGTGGAGATGTCCGCTGGGAGTGAAGGCAGGCTATCTCAGTGGAAGAGAGCGAAAGATGGCGGACTAGAGCCTGATGCACATTTATCAAAGCTTTTCTTATAATCACTTGACTGACTTTTGTTGGTCTTTCTGAAGGTTGGGTTTTCCTTTAGAGTGCACTCTGTTAAGGAGTTGATTGATTTCATGAGGGGGGGACTCTGTCTATGTTGTAGATGTCATACACTTCGAAGAAATGTGGACAAGGGTAGATTTGTACTCACTGGTGTGGTATTGTGTTTACAACTATCATTTGTTTTGATTTAACAATATTGGCTGATTTATCAACCAGTCAGCTAAGCATTTTTTCTTAATTAATATTGTTAGAAATGCCAATAAGACTAGGCTTGTTTGATCAATTGTCTTCCTCTTCGTAAGAATTTTGTGATAAAAAATCGAATCATTATTGACCGCTGCATTGATCCATCCCTTTCCTTTTTTAATGCAGGTCCATTTCTTTGTCTTTCCGGTTGTTTTTCCGTGCTCCTATTCCCCGAAGCTTAGGTTAGCCATTTCAAAGGCCTTATTCTCTCCATGCAAGGTCAACTATAATCAACTCTAGACAATGTCACCGCCTTGCATTTCCACAGAGCTAGGCAAAGGAAGACGACTCCTCTGGGCTTTTAAGGACCTACTGCATTATACCATTCAATTACTGTTCATTAGACAGTGTACAGCCATTAATCAGACTGAGATGTTCTGCTAGTCCTCAGCGGGGACAATGAACTGGGGAAATTTATTCTGGCTTCCTGTCTGGGCCGCTGTTTAGTGGTAAGGAGAGAGATGACACTTTGGAATGCACTGAAGCTTTCAGTACAAGACACATCCTAAACTGAACTGCTACTCCACTTGCTGTATCTGTTTTCAAGTGAAGTTCTCTGCTTCATGCAGCCCCTCTCTTTGAATTTTAAGAAACATAGGCTTTGTCAGAGATTTACTGCATATGTGGGAGAGTATTACGAATCTGATATATCACTAAAAGGGGAGAAAGCTGACAGATTTACCGATTAGAGCTGCATATGCATTGAATATGACTAGATGATGATATGAGAAACTGATTTATGTTTTCCAGGAGAGGGAGGTGTGTTCCACGTTACGCAGAATGCGGTCACGGATGTCCCAGTTTTTCAAGGGTAGGTTCATCAAAGCATAAAGCCTAGTAGTAGCTCGCTGGCAGCGGCGGCGGCGGCAGCGGCCCCCGCGTTCCCCTTCACAGCACCTAATGCACCCATAAAGAGACCACTAATACACTCTGCATTACCAGTTCCTCCCTCACATTGCATGTCACCGGATCCGCAACCACCTCTCAACATCTGGGAGAGCTTTACGCCATGCTTTATGGAGACCATCTGGTTGAGTGGGTTTTTTTGCCTCCCCAATCTCAGATGACTTATTCTAGTATTAAAGGCACCTGCACATCAAGGTGTGCCATGCTGAGAGCCTGGGATTATTCACCGCTCTTTATATTTCCCATGTCGTTTGTAATTTGGAACCACTCAGACAGAATGAGGGGGATATGTACCTTGTTACTATGAAAATCCATTTTTTTCTCCATGACTTCTTATTCTAAGTAGAATTGCATGGTCTGACTTTTATTTGATTGATCTAGAGAAGAGCACATTTGAAAATGAAAAACACAAAATAAGTGCTATACACATTTGATTATGGGGACGGGAGATAACATACTGTTAAAACACAAACCAAAGCAGCGATGTAAACTTGACATTCTCCTTTGTTGGGGGGATGTGCCTTTCAGTTGGTTCAGGCAATTTCATTCTAATTGCCTACAAAACATAGGCTTTGGCACTAAGGCCCATTCACTGGTTTCCCAGCATCTCCAATTGTTCCTTGCGAAAATTCCAAAGGTGACTAAATGGAACGGGATGTGAATCCCTGCACATGGTTATCACTGTCTGCCCTTCAATCTGAGCTTCGCCCTGTCAGTGTGACACTAGGAAAATCACTGCATCCTGCGCTAACAGCAGGCTCCCTACCTCACTCACGTGTCATCCATGCTATCTTAGAAGTACACAAATACACATACATGTGCACGCACAGACAGCAGTTCACGGCAAACATTTTGCCACATGTGCGTGTTCATGATTTGTATGTATATACATGTTTTCTCTTTCAATTATCCTCATATTGATGGCACTAGAGGTCGAGATGCAACCTGATGTACACTCTAGTACTGGCTATGATTTCCCTGCAGAATATCAGTGGACACTGCAGGGGGCATTTGAAATAAATCACAGCACATTATTGCTTGCAGAGACTCAAGACTCACATACTCATTTTTCTGTCCCTATCACATATTGTTGTTACTGTTTATGAATGGTTCTGCATCATTCATGGCTCATATGATGCAGATGACACAGACGCAAAGCTTAACAGGAGACTCAGAGCCGTTGTGAGGGAAGCGAGATGTGAAAGGAAAAGTGATCTCCAACAGAATCAAACCCATCTGCCACCTGCTTTGCATCAAAATGTCAATATCTGGGCCAGTTTTTATCCTTGAAAGGATCAGCTGAGAAAAAAATAGGAGGCCTTTTTCAAAAAGCAAATCTACTATCAAGGTACTTGCCCTGCCTCCATCATATACTTTACCAGCAGTATTCCATCTTGACTTCCAGGTATAAAAGCAAAAGATACTACTGGGTTCAGTTTGGCTGAGATTCTCCTTCAAAAGTTATTGGTACCGTGTACAGTGGCCTTGTAATTTATGAGAACTGTTAGGGCCTCTGACAGAAGTTGTAAAGCATCTTGACTGATTGGGAAGATATGAGATGTGTGCAGTCATGGCATATTGTCGCCTGTATGTGCGTAGACATGCAGAGAGTTGCATGGCTTGCTCTGTCACAGATAAATTACTCCACACAGTCAAATTAAGTTGTTGTAAATCACCCCGCGGACCCGAGACTAGTCCTGAGTGACGACCTTTACGCCTATTTGACTTTAAGTCTTATTTATGTTAATCACATCTGTATTATACTGACAGTAAAATTGTGTCGTATCCTAAAAGGTCATTGTTTTGCAGTACAGCATGTGACAGGGACAGAAAAACACGCTGGTTTTGTTAACGGGAAGGGAAAGGTTTAACTCTTGAATGTTTATACATAAACAACTTTCTTTTTATCCTGTGTTTTTTACAGAAAAGTTAAACATTAACATTCACTGCTTTGACCAGCATGACATTCATTCAGAAGGTATGTACTATGAAAAAAGAAATGTATTCTTGTATTCTCAAATGCAGCTCCATATAGAGCACAGCGTAGTTCAGCAACCATATGGGGATACAGCATGTTCCATGTTATTGTAACAAATTAGAACAACTCGTGAGCAATACAGATGCTTGGTGTGGATACTAAATGCTCATGAAATCCCATCACAAAGAGCTTCATGATATTAATGACACTAAAGTAATAACATGTTCTATGGATGTTAGTCCCTCACAATACAGCTTAGGATACAGGATATATATTGTAGTTTTTATTCAGGCAAAGAGCAAATGATATCCTTGGGGATGGCTTTCACTGAGGGAGAATGAGAGCCTTTGTTAACTACAGTAAAGTTGAAGGAAAATGTATGCTTTTCTTCTCATTCATCATATACATGTCATGAAAGGCCTTCAAAAGGCAGCAGCTCCCAACAGCAATTTTTTTTTTTTACATTTACATGTTGAAAAATAATAAGTTCCAAAGACTGCATGCCGAAAATCAGCCATTGTGATGTGAGAGAGGCATCTGCGTGTGATCTCCCTTGCACTCAACACGACAGGCTCTGTGAAGTGCACCACTGCCCAGTTACACATTAGCTTTGATTGCCAGTTTGTTCTGTGCGTAGCCCGTAGCTTTGAACTGCGTCTCAAGATGAAAGCCAACCTTGTCCACAGCATGTCCACTGTAGACTGCTGCTGTTGCTTATTTGCTTCAGGCGCCATCAGAGGCTTTGGGACTATTTTTTTTTCTATAGTTCTGTACCATGCTGGATTGAGCATTATGTATAATTTATCATACAATACATCCAGAGACAGCACCCTGTCTCAACTCCATTTTAATTTAATGCCTCTTTCTTTTTACATCTTGTGTTGAGTGTGGTCAGTGTATGATACCACTAAGGTATGTCTCTGTGATGTCCAGCAGATATACCTTCATATTAGTGGTTCCCATGGTGAGAGCATCACCACTCAGCGCTTATCTCTTTCTCTCTCTCCTTTCCCTCTTGTTCTCTCTCTCTTTCCTCTAAGAGCCAGAACCATAGAATACAGTGTCAGACTGCAAACGGACCAGACGTCCTCGTTCTCTTCTGTCTCCAGAAGCCAGCTGCTCATGTATAAGATGAAACAGTGTTATAAACCAAATAAAAATGTCTTGCCTCCTGACAGCCCCACCGTGAATATATGGCCTCTTATTTCAGTGAATATATTGCATAATTATGTATGGTTATGAATATTGCATGGAGCCTCACACTGAGTGCATGGTAAGATGCCTAATTGCGGCGTTTAATTATTAAGAAGCAAAGGTCCTGAGCGGGTTTTGTGAGAAGCACTTTTGATAAATTATTTTTTGCAGTTTTCTGATGAATTATTTTGGGGGCTTGTGTCTAATCAGCAAGCGTAGTGGACGGCGTAACTGCTCTTGAGAGAGACTTATCTTCCCATGGAGAGGAATTACTATGCTGATTAAATCCACTGAAATCAACTAATAACTTAATGATATTGGAGTGGATCAGAAGAATGAATCACTGCCTCTCGTAGTGGTGGCTATGAAGAACACAAGGGCACAGTGATGGGTAGAATGAGGGCTGTTGCCGTTGACCCCGGGGCACAGCTTTAATATTTCTGTGTGACATAAGGGAGGGAAACAGAGAAGGAGGAGCTTGTGATGGTATGTACTAAAGCAAACAAAAGCACCTCATATTGAAAATAAATGTGATGTGGCTGTTCCTTGTGCTATGAAGCACTTTAAGGAAAAAGTCCAGAGAGGCTGACTAAACAAGGAATAATAAACTAGATCTCCCTCAAGTACTGCCAAAGCCACTAGACACAGCTGCTTGTATAACTATTGCTTCTCATCCTCTCCAGCATGTACTATAACTGAGTCGTCCACACAAAAATATTCCTCTGTAGTTATGTATTCAGTTCAAGCACTTAGTATGCAGAAAAGTTTAAGGCTTGACCTCGGTTTGGTGTAGAAAGAAATCTGCAAATGAATAAAACAGGCTTCTCTGCATGTTGATTCAAATATAGAACTGGCGCACATGATGTATTCTTCCATAAAAGCTAATGGCTGTAATGCAGACAATAAGAATCATTGACCCACTTAATCGCAGTTCTGTGTCACGCTGTCACAGTGCAAAACTTAGCTAACCACAGCTGTGGGATCAAACGCGGGGTAATAGCTGGGCTCCCTCCATTCCCCTCTTGCAAAATGCATGTCCGTCTAGCACTTATGAAATGCAGTCAAGCTGCTTTTCGCGAGCCAGCACAAATATGTGAATAATTGATTGATATTGATGTGAGGATCACCTTGGCGGTATCCAGTCGTTGTTTGGTTTAGAAGTCTCCCGCGGAGGAGGCAGGAGTCCGGCCATCTGTCAATAACACGTCAGTCGTCTCACATGGCGGGCACTCTGACCAGCTCAAACGCTTCAGTGAGCAGCTGAACAATTGTTCTCAACGTGATGTTAAATCAGCTATTCTGCTCTGAAAGGAGGCTTGAAGCTCAAGTGTTGCAGGTCTGCTTCAGTCAAAGTTGCCTGGAAATAATGGGCACAGTACTAATTCTGTTCTCTGGCTGTGATATAATTGCAGTGATTATAAATGATGGATTATAGTGTGGAGTGAAGTTTACTTTATACTACTCAAAACAATAGTTGATACATGATACTGTTATACATATTTCCTCTTTGACCTTTATTCATTTAAAAATGAACTACAAACACCTCTTTATAGCAAACATATGAAAAAGATGCTCTACATGTAGGATGTCGGAGCTGCTGCGGCACAAGCTATTGGGCAGCTTTTTTTTGTTGCTGCTGAGGCCTTGTTATGGAAGCTTTACAGGACACTCCAGTCACAGGCTGAATAGGAGAAAAGTGTCTATGAACTTTTTGTATGTCGTATAGGTGAAAT